ATTAATGATCTAATGATACATAATTAGCAGACATATGTATTCTATTTGATTTCCTTAGTTCTCGCTTAAGGTCTTTTTTTTTTTCCTGTCTGGAATACCATCTAGGCTACCACATTATATTTAATAGTTGTGTCTCAAACTTTTCTTGTTTTTGATGACCTTGAAAGTTTTGAGGGATCCTCGTTAGGCATTTAGTGATGTTCTTCAATTTAGTTTTATCTGAAGTTTTTCTCATGATTAGAGTGTGGTTTGAATTATGGGAAGAAGATATCTATTACTTTAAAAAATACATTAAAAGTACAATAAAGGAAAGGAAAGGTTGAGAGTTCAACTCCTCTCTGTTTGACACAGTTACCAGTCTCCTTGCCTTTCCATACAGTATCATTTTCTGTGCCAGCAAGAATACTGGTGATACAGTCTTTTAGAAATAGTTCTCTGGGGTTTCCTCCAGATTACTGACCCTCTTCTGCCAGTTTTGAAGCTGTCACTTTCTTGACCTTAAAGATGTCATGCAACAGCAGCAGAATTACAGCTCCCAGCCAACTGCACCCTCCACCCTATCAGAGACCATCAATTTTAAAATGCATTGGAGAAGTGTTCACAGCTGTGGGAAAAGTAAGTTTTAGACCCAATGAAATATAGAATTCTGAATTTTTCATATGCCATTTCTCATAAAATGACTTTATATTCAATATTGCCAAATTACCATTTGGGTTTTAGACCTAACCATGTTGCTTTTTATGTCTCTGAATCTAATTCAAAGCAGTAAGCTCACACCTGCCACTTTAGTATGAAATTAAATTTTCATTAGGACTCCATTTCTTCCCAGTTTTCAAAATCCCAGGGAACAAGTATGACCCAAATGCAGTTGAAGAAACTGCACATGCAGTTGAAGAAACTCAGGGTAGGTTCCTTTTGGAGACCTCTCTCTTGTACTGAGCCCCAGGTGTGAGGGCCCTCCACCATCTGATCAGGTGCCTGCTGCCCAGAATCCCAGCATGGATGGCACAGATCCCCACAGAAGACCTTCCTATGAGCAGCCCACTGGCTCAGTGCCCAATGTTCTCCTTACTGGTCTTCTCTGAGGCAGCTCAGGATGCCCATTCTGTGTGCACCAAAGCAGTAGCTTCCAACATTCCTGCCAGCCAAGGAGATCAGGGTTGCAAGCAATTCTAGCCTTTTCCACTGGGACCCACATAGAGCTATCTCTTCTCCTCGAGGGACTCAGCAAGCATGTTCTTTTTCAACCTCTAAATCACAATAGGAATAATCACACTTTTTATCAAAAATAAAAAATAATTACTCCCTAAAAGTGTTTACAGTCCTTAAGAGGCTGAGGGCCAAAGTAGAATATATTTTTCTCTTGAAACTTTTCTCTGAGTCTTGAAGGTCATCTGGCCTTGATTGTATTTAAAGAGACCTAGATCTTTAAAGCAGGATAATCTCAGCAGAGGGAATCTCTTCCCTCCCCTGCCAGGCTAAAACCTACAGTCTCAATAGATCTGATCTGTTATAAGACATCGCAAGCCAGACTGTGTTTAGTTTACCTGGAAAGTGCCTCTTTAAACCTCATGATTTCAGGGACTAAGGAAAGGAATTGGGAAGGGCGCTAGGTGAAAAGATTATTCCCAATTATTGTTTTATGCCTTGTGTCTATTTATTGGAGAACTTATATTTTTCTTATGTAATTAAGTATAATATATTATATATAGGCACTACTGTATTAAAGTAAATTTACTCACTTGAAGCTGCAAATTGCTAATCCTCTCTGATTTGAGATCCTCTCTGAAAGAAAAGGAAAATCTGTTTTATGATTGAAGAAGATAAACACATTCTGTACAGAGCAGAACCACCTCAAAGTGGAAAATGGATTCAATTAGTGTTTGATTTCCTTAAACAGAAAACTGTCTTATCCTCTCCCATAGGACATTTTCAATATTAAACAAATTAAACAGATGTGTAGACTCATAGCAACAATATATACATTGTGGCCCTATCAGAAATTTTGCCAAAACCTAGTATATCTTCATTTAGAGAAGACACATGTTAAAAATGTCAATTTACAAAAATTTGTGTACACTACAGTTATCTTAAATTTTCATTCCTACTAGTTAAGCCTGTGCAATGTTGCAAGCTAGTTAATTGTGCTTAAAAATTTTTAGAAGTCTTGAAATACTAGAAAAACAAATACAGAAGCCAAAGATTGTGTTATGATCTAAGACATATGATTACATGAGCAACTTCAAAATAATTGTTATGTTCACAGTCACTTTGCATAAAGCATAGGCTGTTACTGCCAATTACAAATTGGAACAGATGTCAGGACCTGCGTGCATGTGTAGGCTCAGTGCTCATTAAATACTTCCAACATATGTGTATTGTGGGACTCTTTGTGCTTCATCAGAAATACAGACACAAGAAGATAAAACAACTAAACAACATTTCCATTTCTGTTCTGCACAATTTTTGTAGATCCTGCATGTAGTGTATTTCTTTCCTGCCAGACTAATGAAAATGCTGCTCAAAACTAATTCAACTTTTTATTTAATTTTCATTACATGTGCATTCTACCATTCTGACTGTGCCCTCGCTCTCTCTCTCTCTCTCTCTCTCTCTCTCTCTCTCTCTCTCTCTCTCTCTCTCTCATTTATGGATGAGGAGAAATAGAAAAGAAATTACAAACTGCCCTATCTTTCCCTTCCTTTCTGTTAATAATTTTCAGCACAAGTGGTTGTCTAACACAGAGAAGTAATAGGAGTGAGAAGGAATATGACAGGCTTTCGTCTATCATCTGTGTTTCTTCAAACACCATTGCCTGCTTTCTCCACTTAAAGCAAATTTGGACCCAAATGGATAGTGTGGCATGTCAGAGCTCTCTGTGAGCTCCTCCATACTCCTTAGCCAGAGAAGTAACATGCTTGTCCCATTCATTCTACTTCAAGTCTTGTTGAATTCTGCACACTGTGGATCTTTGGGAATACTATGCTAGTGAAGCACCTGAAATTCTGTGTGTAAATGGAGAGGCAAAACTTCACAGACACATGTGCCTGTCTCCTGTGCTCACATGCATGCTCAATGGTCTCATTGGACTTTCAAAAGACAAGTTCATAGATGAAAGCATTGAGAATATCCAGATGGTGACGATGGGGTATTAAGCAAAGCATGGGCCCCTATGAGGATGGGTCCCATGACTGTATTCGTACCTGTGAAGCTCATCTTGCCTCAGTGACCTCCCTGACATCATTGTCATGAGGAGTAATTCAGTTATGGATGTAAAGTTCTCAACAGTCTCCATCACATAGAAAGCACTTGGTACATGGCAATTTCTTAATACCTGAGCCCCAATAAGCAAGAATTCCAAAAACATGGGACTCTGGAATAGAATGAATACTCCTTCATCTGTGTGGTATTCATGAGACAATTATATGATATACAAACACAATCCTAAGGTGAGTTAGAGAGGTTGCCTGGGTTGCTTTCTACATTAATGGTTATTGTGGCAGGTTATAGCAAATGGTGCTCTGGAGGGTGTCTAGGAAAAGACAAAGGCACAAGTCATTAAAAGCAGTTGAGTTACCAGGTTCTCTGTCTGAAAATGAAGTCAGCTCTGGACAAATTTGAGCAAGAAGGTCTCTGATCCAAACTCATAGAGGGGAAATATTTAAATCCAGAATGAAAACAAAATTAAGATCTGAGATTTGCTTAAGCAAGAGGGGGTGAACCCTGGTTGACCACAGCATCCAAATGAAATTTGGTGTAGAAAGAATTTTAAGGTCTGGAGTTCCTGAAGAGATGTTGTAGATAATACTCATCAACCAGTTAATCCAACAGAGCTGCTGATAAAGTGGATTTTGTATTCCTTAGATACTTTTGGTTTATTCATGTTTCACCAACCATTCATCTTGGAAGCATCAGTTTAAAAAAAGAATATTTGATAAATTATTAGTCCCTTTTGAGTTAGCACATACTGATTGCTTTAACATAATTTTGTTAAAACCTAAATATTTTTGAAAGCTTCTTTATTAACATATTTCAATGACACATTTTTTTCATGTGGCAATTATACCAACCYGTAAATTGTGACTTTGTTTAAAGAATGTTTATTAGAAATGACTGGTTAGGACGGGCACAGTGGCACATGCCTGTAATCCCAGTGACGCGGGAGGCTGAGCAGGAGGATCACGAGTTCAAAGCCAGCCTCAGCAATTTAGCTGCTGCCACAGCTTCTCCTGGGGGGTGAATGAGTCATCACAGTGCTTTTTCACAAGGGGGATATAAGAAGGAACCACAGCCTGGGCACAGCTCTGCATAAAACGAAACACCTCCTTCTTGGATGGAGAGTCAAGATCACCAAAAAAGATGTCTCTAATAAAATACAAAATAGAGTTGGGATATGGCTCCGTGGTTCAGTGCCCCTGGGTTCCATCCCCGTTCCCCTTGCCAAAAAAAAAAAAAAAAAAAAGAAAGAACTGGTTAGATATGAAAATAGTATGAAAAGTTATGCAGACAATAAAAAAAATAGGGGTTATAAATATTCAAGTTCCCATGAAAGCAAGGAATTTCAGACCATACAATAGGTGAGGCCCACATGTCATATGCAATTATTACTTTCCTTCTTATTTTAGAGCATCAGGCTACCCCTCTGTGAAGCATGGGCTGACAGAATGAACATGATCTGACTTGCTAAAAATCTCCTTATAGAGAGAAGGCAATATGGCCATTGATTGGCATAATATCTATCTCTAGCATTTTTTTTTACAAGACCTCTCTCCTGCTCCTGCCCATTTGGCTTTGAAAAATCTGGATTTAATTTTTATCTTAAAAACTCAATGGGCTTATTGGGAAGTATTAACTTTCTGAATTCCAGGGTCCTCTCATTCACTGGTGCTGCGGTTATGGAGGGTCATGAACTCCCAGGAATGCTGAGTCAGGGCGTGGGTGTGCTTCTCCAATGCAGCTGCTTAAAGGATTTGACTGATAAATTATGTTCTTGCTTCCAGATGCAGAGCCCAAATATCTGATAGTTGTACGACCTGCTCCCCCTCCAAGCCAAAAGAAGTCATGCTCAGGTATAGTCATTTTTATTGGTTTTCTTTTATTAACTTTAAACCAAAACTTTTCATTTTTTTCTTTTTTCTTTTCCCTATAGGAAAGCCAAATGCCTTGGAGATGTCTTAGGAATGTATGGAGTAGATAGATGAAATCCCTTGATCCACAGGTGACCCTGTTGGAGAAGTTGCTTAGCTAAGTGGTAGAAGCTGCTTGGGATCTTGTGCCAGCATCACTTACAAGCAGCAGGGAGTTAGAGATACTTAACCTTTTTACACCCGTGTTCTGCTGTGTGATAGGATTGTAGAGAGCATAAAATGAGATAGTGACAGGTCCTGTTCTGCTCATCAGTGGCTAGCTCCTATTAACCTTATTCTGTCTGTGACATGAGCACTTTTGCCCACCATGATGCCTTTCAGCTTTCAAGGGCCAAGTTTTATGTCTAATCTTTATTCAAGGAGACTATTTACATTTCAAAAGGATAACTCATTTGTACATGTGTTGAATGGACTTGAAGTTGGGTTTTAGTTACTCTTTCTCTCTCCCTTCTAAACCTCTTCTTTGTATTCAAACAGAAGAACAACTCCTTTCATAAAGCTATAGCAACAGCAGCACCCAACAAACATTCTTTTTTTAAAAACTTTATTTTATTTATTTTTATGTGGTGCTGAGGATCGAACCCAGGGCCTTGCATGTGCCATCTACCACTGAGCCACAATCCCAGCCCCAGCACCCAACTTTCTAAGTGTGGGAGGATTGGAATCAGGAAAGTAGGTGACCTATGAATAAATACGTAGACACTTACTGCATGACAGGAGAGAGATTAGAAGTGTACAATGTCTAACTTAACTACTAAGACTTCTAAGATCAAATAAGTAAAGAATTGCTGAAAGAAAAGGTGGTAGAAGCGGTAATATAGTTTTTCCATCTGATACAGCATCTTCCTATCTCCGTAGAGTTTGTCAAAGTTTTGCTTTGTTTTTCTTATGTGAGCTGTTATCCAAATAATAATTATTATTTTTTTATGGAACACTGGATACCACCCAGAAAAAAAGATCTTTTTTGTTGTTGTTGTTTGCTTGCTATATATTTACAGGGATAAAACAGAAGAAAGCATTCAGCTATTTAATTATACTGAACACTGGGGCTCTTTGCAACTCTGCAACCCAGGGATGATTGCCAGAAATCAATTACCACAATCCCCTCCTCTCCTTTACCTTGATTTCCCTTTCTTTTAAGAGCAGCCTTGAATGGTCAAGTATTTTGAGAAATAGAAAATATTATCCTGGCCTCTTTTATTATCTCAAAGCCAAAGGGAAATCTCAGTCATTTCTTCTGACTTGTTGCTGAGAGTTTTGCAGGCAGTTTTTCACACACTTTAAAATAATTGTTCTCCCAATATTTCAAAATGCTGAATGAGAAAATAAAAACTCATGACTATGTTTCCTTGGAATATGTTTTCATATTAGTATTTATTGAACTGATACAAATATCATACTATAAATAAAAAATATATAGAAAGGAAAATGATCACATCTTAATAGCACTTTATAACTTCATTTCATTTTGAGGTTTCTATGACACTGGCCTTAGATATTTTTTTTCACTTCATTATGACTAACTCAGGAAATTGTTTCATCTTGCTCAGGATGTGATACTCCACCTTTCCTTTTAGGCAGTGGATATAGTTTTTGTTTTTGTAATCTGCATTTGGGAGTGATGTAATAACTAATGGATTAACTTTTTCTTGTTTTATATTTGTATCTACCACATAAATTTGAATTATTTAATCATTTTTGCATTAAGATATAACCTTAGTTAAGTAACTATTTGATGGGTCCTACAAGCCTTAGGTTACCTTGGGGAAAGAAAACTCTATTCCATTTCTACATAGTATTTTCTTTATACATGGTAAGCTAAACCAGTGTGTAGTAAAAAGAAAACTAGATAATCATCAATCAACTCATAAATTTGAGTTTTGACCCTGCTTTCCATGTGACTTTGGATACCCTTGATCCTTCCCTGGCCTTTACTTTTTATCTCTAATACAAAAATGTTATATTACATTAGTAAAAAATCAACCTAGAAATGGAATAAATAATATCAGAATCATCTATAGGCTTTTTCAACCTGTTTATGACCCACTCTTAATCAAGGTTTTCATCTGCCCTCCTTGGAGGTCATACATGGACCATTTGAATCACTATCATATGAGGTATGATTATAGGTGGATCTGAAAAATATTTACCTAGAAAGATAAATGCATGTTTGCAACCAAGGAAATGATAACTATCCTTATACTGTATTTTAAACATCTTTAAAAAACAGAGTATCCTAGTTGAGAAAGTTCTGGTGTTCTGTTGCACAGTAGGGGGATGTTTTTAGTCAGCTTTTTCACATTGTGACAAAAAGACCCGACAAGAACAATTTTAATGGAGAAAAAGTTTATTTGGGGCTTACGGTTGCAGAGGTCTCAGTCCATAGATGACCAACTCTACTCTGGGCCTACGGTGAGGCATAACATCAGGACAGAAGGGTGTGATGGAGGAAAGCAGCTCAGGACATGACGATCAGGAATGGAGAGACTCCCTTCGTCAAGCCATGCCCCCAGTGACCCAACTCTCCCCACCACACCCTGCTTTACTGTAACCACCCAGCTAATACCTATGAGTAGATTAATGCACTGAGGATGTTCAAGCTCTCAAAACTCAACCACTTCACCTCTAAACTTTCTTGTGTGTCTCACAACACAAGAGCTTTTGGGGGACATCTAATATCTAAACCCTAGCAAGCGACTGTATGTGTTAGTTTTCTGTTATTGTAAAAGATACCTGAGGTAACTGACTCATAAAGAGATCATTTGACTCACAGTTTTAGATTATGATCAGTTGGCCCCATTGCTTAGGGCTCTGGTGGCATATCATGGCAGGAATGTATGACAGAGCAAAACTGGTAACCTCCTGTCCAGAAGATAAAAAAAGAAAGAGGAAGGGACTGGAGTCCCACAGGTCCCTTCAAGAGCACACCCTCGGGTAGCGAAAGGCCTCTCAGTAGGYCCTACCTCTTAAAGGTTCTAACTTTTATTGGTGCTGTGGGCTGAGGACCAAGCCTTTAGCACACTGACCATTGAGAGAGACTTCTGCAAACCATACCATCATAGATGACAAAGTGCAAATAACATAAATTTTATTATAAAAAAATAGATGAAAATATGTTGAATGTTTTTACCATAAGGAAATGATAAATGTTTAAAGAGATAGGTTTATGCTTATTAGAACATTACACAATGTATGCAAGAATTGAAATACATGGGATCTCATAAATATGTACAATTTTTATGAATCCGTAAAAAGTAAAAAGAGTCAGCTATCCCGTACTAAGGCAATTTGCTACCAGTAGTTTATATATAATCTGAATTCAAAAGGTTTCTTGCCAAATTAACAATTACAGAACTTAAAGCAATATGAATTGCACAGTTTTCAAAAGTATCTTATTTAGATAACCACCAATAGGCTCAGATAAGGGGTACCTTCCTATCCACCTTAATAAAAGTCACAAGGCTATTTTGCTGTTTGGCTCCATTAGATTAAAATAATATGAGTTCTTCCTTATAGCAAATGAAACAGTCTCATGAAATAAAAGAGGGGATTAAATGGGAATAGAAAGGTGCATCTTTTATGTTCATTCTGTGTAGTTTTACTAGGCTTCCTTTATTTTATTTATCCTGATTGAACTAGTATTGGTCCCATGGTTGAGTTTCTTTCTTCTTCTCTCATTACTGTAGTTTCAAATACCTACCTACCCAAGTACTTGAATATATAGTGATTCATCAGTATAATTCTTGGCATTTCGCAAATCCAATCAGTCCCATTCCCATCAAAACAACTGTGCTTCCTGTACTACTCCTGCTCTTCCAGTATTATGGAAAATGTGTGGAATTTTTCCATTTAGGTAATCATTGTAGATACAGGGTTTTAAAAACTTTATACCAAGGAATTTTGACCCACAAAAAATAAAAAATTAGTATGGCTGGTTATGGTTTATATGTATACAGATATATATTTGCATATATACATACATATACACATGCACATAAATCTGATAAAGGGTATTTTCATTTGATCATGCTAAAATTCATGGAAAAGATTAATGTGTGAGCTATGTGAAAAGAATTTGATGTTTTCACACACTTTTAAAAAATCATCTTACCAAGTCATCTTCATGCATTTTACTCAAATATAAAGTACACTAAATGTTTCCATAATTAACTTGCCTGCTGTCTTCATAGGTAAAAGTCGTTCGCGCAAACCTCTGCAGCTGGTGGTTGGCACTCTGACACCAAGCTCAGTCTTCCTGTCCTGGGGTTTCCTCATTAATCCACACCATGACTGGACGTTGCCAAGTCACTGTCCCAATGACAGGTAATTCATCAAAATGAAAAATGTTGGTTTTTTTATTTGAAAATTAGCACTTGCTTTTAATAGTATTTGAACATGCTGTAGAAGAACATATAAATACCAGGACCATAAGCACTTACTTATCACCTRTTAGATGTACTATCATTATAGGTGTGAAGGGACCACAGATACTTAAGTCAGGGGTCCCACCTTTGAGAGTTATGATCTCCCTGAGCAGAAAGCACAAAGATGTATGTTTCATCCCAAATAGAAAGTACATGGGGGAATGAGCCAAATAGCAAATGGACAGTAGCAATAATATGTGCAATAAAGCTCAGAGGAGGGGGCTGAAGGTAGTTAGGAGACACTAAAAATTTGGAAAGTTGCTTGGGGAAGGATGGATCTTTGCTCTGATATTTGAAGAAGTGCCTGAAACAGTAGTCCTCAAAGGATGGTCCCCAAACCAAGTAGCATTGCCACAAATGGGAATTTGTCACAAATGCAAATGGCAGGTTTCCTTCCAGATTTAAGAGAATCAGAAACTCAGGGTGGGGCTCAACCACCTGTGTTTTAATAGMCTTTCCGATGATTCTGCTGCCCACTGAAGTTTAGAATCACTGGCTTAGAAAACAGGAGAGACACCTGGGGGAGATATAGGTAGATAAAAAATAGTGGGGATAGAGCCACTATCTTTGGCAGAACAAGTAAGAAAAATCAAGCATATTTTTAAAACACTGCCATTTATTCATCATTCCATCCAGTGTGAATACTTGGCACTGAATGTTCATGTACCAGGCACTATGCTAAACACTGAATCATGACGCTAAATTGCTTACAAAATGGCATTTGCTTATTATAAATATTTACTATATTAGTTTCAACATTCAGAAATTGAACAAACATTCAAATTTTTAAGCTTCAATAAGGATATTTAAGTTTTACTGTTTTAAGTACAAATTGATTTTCAAATTTGCAAAGTTTTATTCCCCTTTTAAACAAAAAAATTGAGGTATAATTTAAACATAGTAAAATGCACAGATCTTATGTGTATGTTTGAGTAATTATAAATGCATAAAACCATGCATTTTATAAAACAAGAAATAGGACATTTTATCACCCTAGAAATCACCTCCCTCCAGAAGCTGTCACTGATTTGGTTCTATCATCACTGTAGATTGGTTTTCCTACTCTAAAATTCCATATGAATGGCATCGGATAGTATGGGAAGGTCTTCCCTATCTTCTTTTATTCAGCATATTTTGAGATTTATTCATGACCTCATAGGTATCAATCAGTCATTCCTTTTTTTAATTCCTGAATGCTACTCCACTATGTAAATATTCTAGACTATCCATTCTAGAGTATCTTCTAGACTATCCATTCCCTTGCTGGTGGATATCTGAATTGTGTTGGGTATTGGATTTTATGAATATAGATTTTATAAACATTACTGTATAAGACTTTGTGGATATATACTTTAATTTCTTTTAGATAAATACGTAGAATGGGAATTACTGGGTTAACTTTTTTTTTTTTTTTGGTCTGATCTCCCATCTCCCTTCCTCAAGCAATATACAAGGTTCTTGTTGTTCTACCTTGACACCAGCATTTTGCATTGCCAGCATTTTTTGCGGCATCTATTCCATTGAAGTAGTATCTCATTATGGTTTTGATGTGTACTTCCTTAGCACCAAGGATATGAGTACTTTTTCATCTATTTTTTTAACCATGTGTATATTTTTGTGGTTTTATTTATTTTTGTCTTAAAAGAGAGGCCTTTAAAATGTTTATAAGTTCTCAAAAGTACCTTTCACATGATTTTGATTAGGAAATCTACAATAAAAAGAAATCAAATTTTTTTAATATGTTCATGGTTCTCAAGAGATAAATATTTGGAAAAAGGCACACAGAAGATATTTCCAAAACCCAATACTTTGAAAAATAATTTTGAGATGCTTCAAAAATCTGAAATATTCCTTATTTTACCCACCACTAAGTTCATGTCTTATTTTGCTTGGAAAATGTACTCTTGAAAGCACATGTTTTCTTGAGATAATTCCAGTTGTTAGTGGGTTATTCCAGGATGTCAATGCTGAGAAAATAAACATTTAGGGGTTGCTTTTTATCTTCTCTGTATTAAAAAAAAATTCTCCTTTGACAAAGAAAAGAAGAAAAAGAGGGAGGAAAGGAAGAAAGGGAGGAAATCTGATAGTTTCATATCAAAATGCAACCTGAGTTGAACCATTAATTTGCTTGATAAATCTTTGAGCCTGTTCCAACAGGTTTGGTAACCTGAAAAATTCATAAACATTATTTGTATAAAATGTCCTCCCTGCTTCCAAGTCGCTCTCTCAATTTCTCTTGGTCCGACAGACCTTTTCAGGAAAGATTCTATCTGATGAGCAGTCCTGATGGATAGAGGTTGCCACAGTTGGACAGCACAGAGAGACATGAGTACAGAAAAATGAGGACAGGTGACAAATGGGGCTGGAGTGTTGAACACAGGCACTCGACTCTAAGCCCAAGCTACACAAACCATATGCACATCTCACCCTCACCCCCACACACACCTGTGGCCCTTCCCTTCTCATAAAATAGATGGAGCCAGGCACATCAAATCACAATATTCCAAATCAATAATCCCTTTAACTAAAATTTTTGAAATTCAATAAATTAGTGAATTTCGAAAACAGTCAAAACTAAAAAGAAACCTTTGGAGTACATATAGATTTCATTTTTCAGCCTCTTTTCTCCCAAGTTAGTAGAGTTAATAAAGAGATGACACTTAGAGTCCTTGGCATATTTGAGAAAAATTATTAGATTTTATTTGAAAGTGTTGGAAATGTTGTGCATATTCTAAACACCCAAATAAATCCACTATAACTGTAAATAAGTGTAATTAAAAGCAGACTTGGTGATATCTACCTTCACATGTTCACACAGATTTTTTTTAAATTTAGAGTTCATACCAATCCAGTAAATTACAATAAGCAATAATAACTAAAGGGGATGACTATTTCTTGAAAATTGGAAGATTACACAGCTGAAATGTTCTTTCAGGAATATCTTCTTACAAAACCATTGGAATCTGAATGCCTTTGGCTTACCACAGGAACACCAAGTGGTGTCATTTTTAAGCCACTGAACTCAAATATCTGGAACCCTCAGTAAAGTCTCTGATTTACATAAACCATTTCACATTGGTCTGTATAGCCTTCTTCATCCTATGCAAATGATATATTGGAAAAGTTTTTCCTTTGTCCTTTGACTTTGGATGTTCTATATCAAAACTCATAAGTAGTAAGTTTCCAAAGAGAAAAATGCCTGCTTTTTTTTTTGTTTTGTTTTAAGCACAGAAGTATTAATGGAAATCATTTTATCTTTGTGGTACATTTCTACTTCTATTTGCATGGCTTCCATATGAGTCTTCCATGGTTTTAGATCTTTTTCTGAGTCCACACTGGAGAGAGGTGATGTGCTTTATTTAAGGTTTTGTTCTTAATGGACTTTAAATGGAAGAGTGTACACATTTGTCCCCAAAATGACTAAGGCCAAAAAAATATTCTCAAACTGTCCCAGATGAAGAATTAAGTATGTTTTTAACAGAAATTTATGTCACCATTAATAGCTTATTTTTTCTTTCCCATGTTTCCAACTCGTTAAAGTTTTCAAGATTGCTTTGGTTCTCCTTTGCCAATTTATTAAAGCATTATAACTTGTTTAGAAATCATTTTCACATTATTCTGACACTTTCATATTGGGCTTATTTCCTCTTAATGTAGAATGAGGGCTCTCCTTTTTGGCTGATCCAGAGCAGTCTGTTCTTGCCTTTTATTTTTTCTCCCAAGTTTTAAAGAAGTGGGTGTTTTCAATGCTGAAGTCTCTCTTGGTTGAGCCCAATGTCTGTTACCCATTTGTGGGGTAGTGTAAATTTAAGTTCTGTGAGGGCAGGGACTGTGTGCCTCTTGCCTATTATTGTCACCCCAGTCCCCATGCCAGGGTCTGGAACATTATAGACCTTAGTAAACACAAGTTGAATAAATACACAGTGAGATATCAACATTTTAACTTTTACATATCACTATTACCTCAAGCTCTATAAGACAAAATTGAACTCACAATTTTTCTCTTGATAACCTCATTTATCTTTTTATTATTTGGGGGAAGTTCCATCCCTTTACCCTAATTTGAGGACTTATTCACTTTTGACATTTCATCTTATACAGTCTATAGAGGCCCCATATGGTTCATTTTTCTTTTGAGAAGTATCTATATTCATTTCACCATTTCCACACTAATAATTCTAATCCAACCACTCCTCAGTGGAAGCTGTCTACATTCCCTGACTCATTTTCCTACCCCAGTCCATCCTAGCTTCTACAACTGAGGAAATCTGAACCATCCACCATCAGCTTACTCTTTTTTTTTTTTTTGTACTAAATTAATCTCTACCTCGACCTCACTTCTCTTTTTTTCCAAGGAACCCATCTTTGACCTAAGACAGTGTTTCTGGTCCCATCTCTTCCCACGAGCCTTTTCTTCCTCACTGTTCTCCTCTCTCTTACCCCTTCTCTGCCCTTAGTGCCTTGCCTCCTACTTGTAAACATATTCAAGATTTCCCTAACCCAAACCAAAACCATCTGTTGATCTCATGTCTTCCAAGCAACTTTTCATAATTCTCAAGCTTCTCTGAATTATCTGCTACATACTTGATTTCTACACCACCCACATATTCCTTTTTCCTGGCTTCCATTCCCTTTCTACCATTTCATGAAAACAACTTTTAGTGGTCACCAATTCACTGCTAAATCCAGTAGAATTTTCTAAGCTATTACCCTTCTTAACTTCTCTGTAGAATTGATGACCATCCCCTCAGTCCTGAATTCTTTCTTTCTTGGACATGTTTCTTCTTGCTCCTCTAACCATTCCTTCTCTCCTTTGCCAACCTCTTTTCCTACCTACTAAATGTGAAATAATGTTTTGTCCTTGGTGCTCTTATCTTCATGTCCCTCTTACCTATGCCT